TGCTGTTATGATTCTGTCTGGTTTATGAGCTCGTTGCTGTCCTAATTTAGGATCTTCTTTTTAATAAATTCTTGAAGATGTTAAAAAAAGAGAGAGAGAGAAAGGGGGCCCAGCGAGGATGTTTGCCCCGGGGCCCGTGCTGGCTCTCGACGTTCCTGTTTATGATAAACATGTCTTGGAAATTGAAGATTGTGATATGGAAAGCAATCAGAGTTCTTATGATGAAGTCAAATTACCAAAGCAACCAAATCAGGTTAATGACAGAGAAGACAGGCAGAATAACAGGAGAGAAAAATAGTGGAAGAAGTGAAGTTAAAGGCAAGAGTCAAGTTAGAGTTGTGGAGCAAGGAGAAAATAAGGATGACAAAACTTAAAACAGGATATATGGTAACACTGATGGATGACAGAATGATAATGTCTCTAGAAATTATGAGAACACAGTCACGGCTGATCCTCATATTAAATGATCAAGGTAATCTAGTTGGGACAAATGGTAAGGAAGGAAGTCACAACCCGCCTGCTGTACATAGGAGAAGACTAGTAATTTAGTGGAGCTGAAACAGACCAGAACAATGCTCTTGTACTATCTTTTTGGTGTGATTAAAGTACATGTATTTGTAGAATAAAATTAAACTGTAGATATATCATTTTACAGCACTAATTTGCATGTTTCAAATGCAGCATCTGAAAAGAATAAAATCCATATTTAAAATGATGATTTAAAAATAAAAATATACATAAATATCTTTAGTGATGTGGAGATGCTGTATACACTGCAGGTAATTTATCAATTGTATCTTTATGACTCTGGCATAGAAGTTGATTATATAAACATAATTGATAAGTAGGGGCAATTATAAACAAATTAAAATTAAATGCCTGAAATTGCATATATATTTCAAAGGCCAGAAAATAGCTAGGATTTAGTTCATGCTCCAGCACAAACAATTTTACCACTACATCGCTGGAGAAGACCTCAAGATATTATTGGGAACAAAGCTCAGAAAATAACTAGGATTTAGTTCACACTCTAGCACAAACAATTTTACCACTACATCATCGCTGGAGAAGACCTCAAGATATTATTGGGAACAAAGCTCAGAAAATAACTAGGATTTAGGATTTAGCACAAACAATTTTACCACTACATCATCACTGGAGAAGACCTCAAGATATTACTGGGAACAAAGCTGTAATAACTCGGCAAGGTTGAGTGAAGGGGTTTCTCAACTTTATTTTTCTGGCTTTTTTTGTTGTTTTCTTTGTAAATCATTTTAACAATTAATCCACCTGTTAACCATGACCTTCAAAGAAAATAGCTAATTTTTCCTAATCAGAAAAAGAAGAAAATAAACTCTTGTTTTTGATGATATGGAATATGTTTTTAAATAATACCCTCCAAATATGAACAGAGAAGATGCTTTTAAACTTTAATTCAAAAGAGATTGCAGACAACATGTATTTTTCTTCCAATTTCCCATTCCTCCAGAAAGCAGGAAACTCACACTTTAACTATAGTAAAACTTTTTTGTCGTTATAAGAAAACAATACTGCACAATGAAACAGAATAGTAGAAAGACATTTTTAAGTCAGTTAAAAAATTCAACTCAAATATAACAACTTTTCTGTATGAAAATTGATTTTGGGAACTTTTAAACTGTTCATGTCATAACTTAATATAAATTTTCAAGCCTTTATGTTCAAACAATATTTTACAGTAGTGTAAACTGGAATCCATACATAAAAACTGCCAATGTTTTATTTATATACAGACAGGTGAATAAGTAAAGAAGCTAGTTCAGTAACTGCAAAGTATTTGCATTATTGAACAATAAAGTCTTTGATGATGTGTGCAGATTGTTGTTCAAGTGTCTACTGAATACAAAATAAGACAGTTGTAAGCATAGATATTTCTCCTACTATCTAGTGACCACAACAAAGTAAATATAATAACATGCAAGTTTAGTTTACCACACCATATAGAACTCTTTGGTTCTTTATAAACTAAACAATCAGTGACCTCTCTACGACCTGAAAATGTTTAAAGTCAAATTAATTTTTATACATAATCAGAACTTTATGTTTGTCATTTAAACAAAACTGTGAAGTTAAGAAAATAACCAGTGCTGATAGTGTTGGTTTTCTCTAAGCTTACCACCACTAATTTTAGACGTTAATTTGTCTTTAATAAACTTAAGGGTAGATAATTCATATAGTAGAAGAGAATTCACTATTTGGCTAAAAAAAAACAACAATCATTTAAAACCAGCTTCAACAATGTCTAGTAAAATTCTGATAAAAATAAATGAGAACTGGGTAAAAGATCTTGAGATGTCTAAAGCGAGAGGTATATCGATCAAAAAGGAATGTATTTGAGATATGATTGAAAGTAACTATTCAATAGCATTTGCTGGAAAATATAGAAAAAAGTCTTACGGTATAAATACTTAACCACAATCTATACATTTACAAGTATCTCTATAAAAACATCTACATGAATATTCATCTTAAATAACTAAGTCAACACAAATTTGTGTAGACACAATTAATTTCAAGAAACTGAAGATGTGATACAAATTCACAAAATTGGTAAATAAAACAATAACAAACTAGGAAATAATTCATTGGCTATAAATGTTTTTCCTCATTTGATCATGTTCAATAATAGGATAACCATGTATATTTATAACCTATAATTTATTAAACAATATTTAATAAATGTCATTTGTAAGAGAAGTTTTAATGGAAGTATTTGACAAAAGAATATCAGAAAAAAAACAAAAGATAAATGCCAATATAATTAAAAATTCAAAGTACATTACTAAATATCTATAAAAGACATTTTCAAATATCAGACAAGCTGTAATCTATGTATTTGTACAAAACAGAAACTACATCTTAGCGAAAAATCATACTAAATGTGATATTCTCTTAAGAAACAATGATCTGAAGGGTATTTCAAATGTAGTTCCCACACAGAAGGATAAACAACTCAACAAAGTATTTTGGTTACATTTTTTTTTGTAACTGGTCATATACAAATGAAGAATTCTAGTTTTCTTAATTTTTTGAATAATATAAATTACAAAAGTACAAAGCTTAGGAGCAACATGTAAATATTAATATAAAAAGCCCTGAGTAATGCCTCAAAACATTAAAATCATTTCATCTTTGCTTTGTGTCAGCATTTTATTAAAATATTAATTGAAAAAGATGTAAAAGTTTTTCTTCTCTAGTTCAAGTTACAAGAAAAATAATTTTGTTTATATTTTTGCACTCCCATCTAAATTGTGTTAATAAAATAAAACCAAATACAGACATGTAAAATTAACATTTTTCTTGTCTGAAAATGTATTTCTTATAGACACTTAATAGCTGTTACCTCATATGCAACAACCATGGAATTTCTTGTGCATGCCACAAGCCTTGAAAAAATTTACACCCCTACAGTGTCTGCATGTATTGCACCAATCTATGATGCAGTTGTCATAAGGTTGTATTGCCCTCCACCAACAGGAGGGCAATACAACCTCCATGTACAGTATACCCTGTGAGCACCTGCACATGAGCATAGGCTAGTCTTGGCGAGACAAATGAAATGCACTGGAAGTGGGGAGCAAGGATGGGAGGTGGTGTAGAGAGGGAAGTATCTGTCCGAAATACATTTTCAGGTAAAGAAAATGTTAACTTCAGAAACAATGCTTAACTACCTGCAACACTAAGAGCTAGAATTGCACACTGAAGGTGGTGTAGGTCTGATCAATTATAATGATGAACTCCTTTTTAAAATAGTGACAGAAAAAGAAAGCCCATGTGGTGTGACTTCTACGTGAGTAGGGGGCCACCTAATGGAGCAGCACCAGCTGGGAAGATGCATCTCTCTCAAGCATAGAAAAATATTCACCCCAATTTTTTTTTATTTTACAGCAATACTGAGGAAAAGATATCGGGAAACTCCAGAGCTGGTACTTTGTGTTCCAAGGTGGGTGGAACATTAGAATGCATAATATAGCTAAGGCTTTATATTTAATGGCAGATGAAGGAATTCCCACCTGTATTCCAAGGTAAACTGAAGTACCATCTGGCTGGACACATCCACCAGGAACTGCTTTGGAAATAATGTAATGGGGTGTCCTGTACTAAACTTTCAGTAACAACTCTACATATCAAGTGAGGGATGGGTCCAACCAGTCAGCTACCAGAGGATGAAAGCACCACTCATACAGGAAACTCTCTATGTTATTGATTTACATAGTGGTTTGGGACTGGGAAAGTGGGGGAGGGGGATACACATAAGAAAGAACATCAGAGAGGATTTCTGGAACATTTTCATTAGGCACAATCACAAAGAATTGGGTTCCCACCAAGAGACAGTTCAATGGGTTACTAGGACTATAAATAGTAAATGTGAGCCAGATATCATGGCAAGACTATGTCTGATGCTTTCCTTTTCTGTTTTTTTGTCAAGAACCACTATCCCAAACTAGAAAGGAAGTCATTGATGTAAAGATGCAAGTCAGATGGAGGAGGGTGACAGAATTCCCTGGGTCATGTTTCAAATGACCAAGTTACCTGAAAGAGGAGAAAGTAAAGATGTATGGAGAAGCACAAGGCCAGATAAGGGATTGCAGGATATGTGCCACAGATATCCCAGAGTCCATTGTAAAGGATGCATGTTTAAAGAGAAACTAGAGTCCCCAAAAGCAAGAGACCCTCTTACATAGGAACAGAATGAAATTGAAGAGCCTTCTAAGCTAAAGTTTCTATAGCATGAAGAAGCAAGGGAGATGGTTGAGTGCTCCCCATATGAGTATCAAGAAACCTCCCAGGAAGAAGACAAAGATGTAGAGGATAGGTGAGAAGATGAAAAGAAAGAAGAGGTGGCATATGAAAATCAGGGACAGACCTTAAGAACAAACATGCACAACCCAGGAGTTGCCAGTGGAGGGAGAAGATGTGTGTGCAAAGGAGGGGGGAGAGGTAGTTACCAGAGGTTCCAAAACCAAGAATAAACTCCAAAGAAGAGTTATTGTCAAGAGTCTCAATGGCCTGCCCCATGGAGGGGGAATGAAGAGTAGAAGAAATAGGATAAGGAACAGGAGGAGTTACCCAAAAGGACTCCCAAGGTCAAGTGGTCAACTGACGTACCTGTAGTTTATAGAAAAGAAACCAGGAAATCAAAGAAAGGCTGTAGGTGTGCACAACCCCAGCCTGAGATTTGAAGAAATTTGGAACACCCCCAAAGATTGGAGCAGTGAGAAAGGGCCTAGACTTAGATCAAGGAGAGAGAAGGAAGGGTGTCAGACACCTGAAAGGAAAGTATCCATGTCAAGGGATCCCAAGAACAGAGAAACCAAGTCAAAGTACAGACAATAGAGGAAGAAATAGAAGAAAAGGGACAAACAAATAAGAACAGATATCCTGACTAAATCTATAAGGGACATGATGAAGAGCCACAGTGAAGAGGTGAAGTGTAGAAATAAGAGTAAAGATAAGATGAAAATGAGCAGATTGCAGTAGAAAAAGGAGCACCCCAATCATAGAGAAAGGACACAAGTGATTGGGTTCAAGAAATAAAGAAGACCATACTCAAAGGAGTCATGAACACAAGGAGGACAAAGAAGAGTGATTTATGTGGAGTAGGGACAGGAGATCCCCAAGGTAAAGCAATCCACGAGTCATTATGTCATACAGACAAAAGAAACAAAAAAATCACATACCTGAATTATGAGCATAGCAAATACAAAAGGAGAAGGCTAAAATCATCAACAGGCAAGACAGACTACACAGAAGGCAACTGAACAGAATTATGAGGGATTTGAACTGGAGAAGAAGTAGGCAAAAGGACACAAACCACCTAATGCATGATACTGATAACATAATGTTTGAAAAACATCAGTAGTAAACATGTTGTCATACCATGTTCATCACAGCTCTAAGATCGTGGCACCTTAACCTCACCATAGATTGAAAATCAAGACCTGTCACATTTGTTCTACTATGTGAGCTAATGGGATAACTACTAAACATCAGCTGCATGAACAGATAAGGTGCATATGTTTACCACTGACTCAATTGTAGAAAAGGAATGTCTGGGCATCAAGACATTTATTTTTTCATGTATTCATTGTTCTAAGTAGCACACAGAAGAAAAGTAGCAGCTAGAAAAAGTGAAGTTGCAATCAAGTGGATGGAATATAAATGCAACAAGGACAAAAGTAACTTAGCACTAAAGACAGCTGATCAAAGTGACTATAAAACCAAAAATCACACAAAAATGACATGTCTGAGCACAAGCACTGCTGAGAAAAGAGTGAGCCAATGATCATGTGCTGGTACTCACAGAGGTTGTGCCACCCTCCTATTAGTAGAGGGCTACAACATTATGACTTATGTCATAAGCTGGCACAATACATTTAGACACAAGTAGGAGTGCAAGTTTTTTAAAGCTTGTGGCATGCCTAGATTTTGCAACATACAATATTACACATTAGAATTCACTAGGCAAAGTAAAGGAGAAGCCTCTGTAATTCAGTCCTTTTCCAATTGTGCCTACTGTAAATGAGAAGATTTAAATGTAGTATTCTAGCTGAAATAATTCATGGTCAATGTAGTATACTAGAAAGATCCCACAAAATGTATGACAAATATAGAAAAAGAGGTAAAACAGCCCACACTTTTTCTGCAAAATAATTATAAGCAGGTTTTATTCTTTAAATTATTTGTTGAAAATCAATATCTTACTCTAAACTAAGGTGAATTAATAAATCACTTCCTGTTTAACACAGTTTCTTTTACATATTTACAAATTTAATTGATTTTGTCAATTCTTTTTCAGTAATTTTATAGTAACACCTGTGATAAAATAGTTTTTCAAACCAATAAAAGTATCTAAATTTTTCAGCATTTTAATTTCTTTGTTATGTGCAAACAAATTTTGTTTAAATAGTAGATACAACTATAATAATACTAAAAACATCATCAGCTGGAAAATCATACAACTCTTGTTCTTTAAGTTCAACATTTACTCAAAATGTGTAAATAATCATTCCTATGATAAGATTATTAAGAGAGAAAAATCTATGTTCATAAGACAAATACATCTTCCAAGATATGTACACATACACTATGAGGAAGAGCTTCGTTCATCTGAATTCTAACATATTCAAACCAAATGTACATTTTCTGAAAAATTTTTAAAAATCTCCAAAAAAAAGAAACAATTTTGCATAAAATTACAAGTTCTGTGAATGCACCTGTTTAAACTGAAAAATTATGTATCCTTTAATTAATAGTTTCCTACTGCTTGAATAAAAATGTTATCCCTAATTAAATAATTGAATTTTTATCTTTCATACTACAATAAATATTAATAATGTTCCTTACTTCCAGTCTTCTTTAACTTTATAATGTGATAACTAACAACTGCACACAACTAACAAGTCAAACATCCTACAATTCACTTTTGCTGCTCTACACTAAGTAAAATAAAATACTTATTTTATATATAGAAACAATCTTTCTAGAGTTTTTATAAGAATTTAAACTATTCATCAATAAAATAAACACAGGAGTAAAAACAAGTTGTACTTTCAAGTATCATATAATAAAAAAACTTGAATACAGTCATCTTGAGAATTGTACGTTGATTACAGCGACTTACTGACGAAGCCTCTTCATTGGATTACTGTTATAATCTTAACACTTTGGACAGTTACATAGTTTCACACTTAAATGGCTTGCTATTTCTGCATTTTACTTTTAATTACTAGTAACAACTACATACATTAGTTATAAATAAAATTGTTTGTTTGAACTAAACTCTGAGCTTGTGAACTTGCAGATCTATATGGAATGTTGCTTTAACCTACATATTTATTGAACAAACTTGAATCCACACACAAAATGAAATATCAATCATAAATCCAAACCATATCTTTTGATCAAAAAACACACACACTAAAAATTATTTAATCAGAAACTCAGAACACACACTAAGCAAGGAATATTCTGAAAATTAATAAAGGAAACACCACTATAACATTTTCCACACTGAGGCTAGTATTTACTTCAACTTCTTTAAATGAGAGGAAAAATCTCAACTAAAGTGTTAATTTTAATAAATTCTAGTGAGATTACTACAAAACAATAATTATTTTGGTTTACTAGACATGATATGCAAATAAAAGAACATATAAATGATCTAGTTGAAAATTAAACCACTTTACTCTTTCATCTCTATTTCCTTTGATCCCTAAAACATTTTCAGTATTCTGCTTAACCTGAAAGAGAAGATCATTTTCTATTAAAGCACACTTCTATTTTCTACATTAAATCTACGAAATATTGTCTTAAAGTCTCACCTATTTAAATAGAAATCCAATCAGTTGATTATTTCCACACACACTCGCACAATGCTGCTGTCTGAGGAAACTAACTACATAGATCTCTAAACCACTTGCTAACTGGCAACTAAGAATTAGACAGCTTAAGTTAGACATCTGCATTAACACCTTTATCCTCCTTAATGATACAAATTATGCACTATTCATTTAACATTTGATGTACAATTTACTATTAACATTTTTTACATGAAAAATGACAAACTAGAACATATATAGAAAATAATATAAAAGTAACCATTTATTTAAGGAATATTTTTATACCAATAATTAGGATGTTATTCGGCCCTTGCCTTAAAATTTCAGGATAACAAAAAAAAAGATATAAGCACCTCCACAGATATGGGAAAAAAAATGATAGAGTCAACATTTTTTTAATCATTTGAAACTTGTTTTAAAACTTTCATGGTAAATAAGTTGCATTTGAATATTTTGGGCTTTTTCCATACTTGTAATAATGATATTAAATATCACTTTATAGGAACTAGAACCTTAAAACAGTCACATTAATGTTTAAAATATTTGTATGTATTTTAATATTGAGCAAATCAAGTTTGAAAATGAAGTATTAAAGTGATAATAAAACATTTGTATGTATTTTAATACACAACAAATTAGGTTTCAAAATAAAGTACTAAAATCATAACAAAGTAAAACATGTGTATGTATTTTAATACACAACAAATTAGGTTTCAAAATAAAGTACTAAAATCATAACAAAGTAAAACATTTGTATGTATTTTAATACATAACAAATCAGGTTTCAAAATAAAGTACTAAAATCATAACAAAGTAAAACATTTGTATGTATTTTAATACATAACAAATCAGGTTTCAAAATGAAGTACTAAAATCATAACAAAGTAAAACATTTGTAAGTATTTTAATACATAACAAATCAGGTTTCAAAATAAAGTACTAAAATCATAAAGTAAAACATTTGTATGTATTTTAATACATAACAAATCAGGTTTCAGTAAAAGGATAATAAACTGCTTCTTCTTCAAAACATTATAGGATATCCAATCAACACTCCTTCCAAAACTCAGGATTTTACAAACATGCATGTTTGTGCAAACTGCACAGCATTTCAACTTTTCCTCATTATCCTATCTAATTAGTTCAATTTTAGCCTTTAATCTGGTCATAAGGAGTAATAAAACTTTCTGAACACACTTTCTTCAGAGTACAGAAAAAGACCTTCACACAATGCAGCCTGATGATACACAATCAAATGTTGAAGTTTCAGTTATAAAATGATAATTGTTCTAAACTATCATCAAATATAATGAAATAGGTAATTATCAACAGATACAATAACAGAGTGACTGACTAATGAAGATTATGCTGAAATATACAAATAAGTGACATAGCTAAGTAGCATGGTTCTCAGAAAGAAAAGGGGGGGGGGACTCCACATATTTTACAGACATTTCAAGGTCTTGGGATAATTATTTACATTTTCCCTGACTTTTCCCGTATGACTAATTCCCTATGGTGAGAAAACTAACTGCATTTTGATATCATAAGATAAAAATTGCTTTTTGCAAGTTTCTTTTAAAAACAAACCAACCTCTAGATATAACTGCTTGTATACTTACTCTTACTCAATGCTACGAAACATGAGGAGACCTAAAACATCTCCTGGGCCAAGGCAGTGGCCATTCATACTGACAGGGTAACACACCATTCACATTTCGCTCAAAGTACAGGAATGCTGGAAACCACCAGAGTTTTGATAAAAAGTTTGTGTGCTCCTCATTCTGTTTGGACACAAAGAGATTAGTAGTGTTTAACCACCACAATACATTTTTTTATATATGCTTATTAATGCTTTATTACTTAATTTATTTATACACAAGATACTTTGACTTGTATACTCAATTTGCAATGAAAACACTGGAATCATAAACTTTAATATGAGAGGTAATACACCACGTTTAAGATTTTGGAGCTCAAATCCAGGCTAATTTATTGGCAAAATCAAATCACTGCTGAATTTTAAACTTATGAAATGGTGTGTTATATGGCATTACTTGAAGTTTTATACAGTGTTATGTGGCACTACTTAAAGTTTTATATGGTGTTATGTGGCACTACTTAAAGTTTTATATGGTGTTATGTGGCACTACTTGAAGTTTTATATGGTGTTATGTGGCACTACTTGAAGTTTTATATGGTGTTATGTGGCACTACTTGAAGTTTTATATGGTGTTATGTGGCACTACTTGAAGTTTTATACAGTGTTATGTGGCACTACTTGAAGTTTTATATGAGAGATACCAGTCTAGGTACATTAGCCATTAGACAAGACCCAGCCTATAACAAAAACATATAGTAATAACAAGTTTTAAAACATAACATTAAACAAACTACATAGTTTCCACCTGGCCTTCCTCAGCTTATGAAAAATAATATTAATAGTTTTGAAATATAACACTGAGAAAATAAAATGATTTTATATACTTCTAGCTATTCAATTAAATAGGAGCTCATGCAGAAGTTTCAAACGATTAATGATTTTTGTAAAAACCTTATAGAATATAACATAACAATGAGAACACTTCATAATGATATTCTCTTTACAATATTTTTAGTGTTAAGATTTATCAGCTATTTGAGATTTTCAAAGATTGAGTCCATTACTATCATAATTTATGGTAAATAAACTGTACTTCAGTTCAGGAAACTACATCTTAAAATGTTCTAAAAATACCTTATGTGTGAACTACACTGGCCAACAAGTCATTTTCATCAGATATAATTATAGGTGGGCTAGATAGCTATTGGGATGCTGATTCCAAATCTTGTTTTTGGTTTGCCTCTAGTACACCAAGATTTCGTGATGAGACCGATCAAATTTGAAAGGTCATTGCCTTAATTGTATTAGGTCATCAAGAAATTAATATCACGTTTTGGAACACTTTAATTACCCCTCCCCCCAAAAAACAACAACATATACGTCACATATAATAGTTAAACGAACCGCCTAAACGTCACGTTAGTGTAGCCTATATAATGTGTAAAGTTTAGTATACTCTTATAGTTATAGTGATTGCACACGACGAGACCCACATTCGGTATGTAATGCTGTTTGAATACAGGAAGGGAAACAACGTCTCTGTAGCCACAAAGAATATCAAAAAGTTTATGGAAATGTTTTGAATGTTCGTAAGTGTCAACGATGGTTAAGCACATTTTGTTCAGGTGACTTTAGCCTTAAAAACTGTGATGGCAGGGGCCGACATGTTGGAATTGATATTCATGCTCTGAAGATGCTTGTTGTGTCCACCCCAAGGCAACACACTCTTGAAATGGCCCTGAAATTGCACATCTCTCATGAAACAATATGTAAACATCTAAGGAATATGGGAAAACTTCATAAAAAAGGTGTTTGGGTGCCTCACAAACATTCCAATGATCAGTGTTTCCAACGTGTGAACGTTGCTTCATCTGTTCTGCCATGAACCATTTTTGGACAGAATTGTCACCGGTGACGAAAAATGGATTCTCTGTGCAAATATCATACGCCAAAAAACAATGGCTCAGTCCTAAACAAAAACCACTTCCGACCCCAAAACCTGGACTCCACCTGCAGAAAGTGATGCTTTGCATTTGGTGGGACATCAAAGGAGTAATTCATTTCAAACTCCTTAATCCACAGGAAACTGTCAATGCAGAGGTCCATAGTCAGCAACTGGTACATTTAAATCAAGCCTTTCATCAGAAACATGCTTCACTCATCAATCGGAAAGGTGTTGTTCTTCTCCATGACAATGCACATCCACATGTGGCACATTTGATGCAACACAGAATTATGGAGTTGGGTTAGGAAGTTCTCCCACTACCCACCATATTCTCCAGATATGGCACCATCAGATTACCATCTTTTCATTCACTGC